AAGTCWTTGTCACAAGTCCCAAATAAACCCTCGTCGAAATGTSTRAAGCCCAAAAGTCGAGTCTGGATCCAATGTCACCAAGCTCTCTCTCTCTCTTTCTCTCGTAGTCTGCTGATGCAGTGAAGTCAGATAATGAGAGGGTGAGAGGGAGATGGTGGACTGAGAAGAGGAAGAAGAAGAGCTCTTTCTCTCTCACGAGCCAGGTACTAACCTGTGAAGTTGGCGCTGTGCTGCAGGTACCTCGAAGACGAAGCTGGAGCAACGGCGTTGCAGGTAGGTACTCCTGGCCTCCGCCCAATCTCTCTCTCTCTCTAGTACTATCCTAGCTATGGCGCCCAGCGCTGAAGACGACAGCTACCTACTGGCGCCCAACGCTGAAGACTAATGCTAACGCTAACCCTAGCTATGGCACCCAGCGCTGAAGACGACAACTACCTACGGGCGCCCAGCGCTGAAGACTAATGCTAACGCTACTACTACTCCTGCAGCGCTCCCTCCAGAGTGCTCTTGCCGGATCCTGAAGACTACTGACTGCCTCCTGCCTGCACGTGAAGTGCCTGGGAAGTACCTAGGAGCGGCCTCCCAACTACCTGCAGCCTGCAGGGCGGGCGAGTCTTATATAGTGCTGGCCCGTCCAGGAGGCTGCTCTTGCGAATGCCAAGACGTGCCAGACCCTGGGGTTGAAGCTCAAACGAAGGTTGTCTTGAAAATAGGCCAAAAATGGCCTGAGCTAAAACCCTGGTCTGGTGCCTGAGTTTCAGGGCAGGTTGAACTGATGAGGGCCTGAAAATGGCCCTCAGTTTCAGGCTGAAAAYACTCAGGGCCGGAAAGGCCCTGATTTAGCCTGAAACGACACAGGGCCTGTAGGCCCTTGTTTTCAGGCTTTCAGGCTGAAACGACACAGGGCCTGTAGGCCCTTGTTTTCAGGCTTTTAGGCTGAAAACGACACAAGGCGTGTAGGCCCTCGTTTTCAGGCTTTCAGACTGAAAATGACACGGGCCTGAAAAAGGCCCGTGCAGCCTGTTGCAGGCGCAACATGTAACATGGACCCTCCTCCGGAGTGGGGTTCCAGGGTTGTGGAGCTGCAGCCATAGCTGCAGCTTCTTCCTCAGAGGTCATCTTGTCAGGATTTGGTGACGCTGCTGCAGACTTCCATCCGGGAAGTCTTCCGACACTTCGTCATCATCAACTACTGTGGTGCTGGTCTTTTTCTTCATCCTCTGAGTGGCGCTTGGCCTCAGAGGCCTGTTTCAGGGTGGCGCTTCTCTTTGGAGGCTGTATCTGAGTGGCGCTTGATGTTTCAGGGGCTCAGGGGTGTCACGAGTGGTTACTCAGGGTTGGGGAGTGAAGCGCTGCTCATTTTTTAGTAGCGCACTGTAGGTCTGAAGTTATTCTGACAATTTGAGACTCCGAGTTCAATAAACAGTGTAATACTGGGTTTGGACTATCATCGTTTCATTGTTTCCTGGATGTGATCTACTCGGCTTTTCTTTATGACTGGTTGTGAGGACTGAATGGAGTGAATTGCACTTTCAGTGTACCCTGTCACATCGCATGGTCAAGTCTTCCGCTGTGTTTATCTCTCCCTGTGCGGTGTGATACTCCTATCCTCTCCCCTTCCTTCTGTGAATGTATGGGCATACCTGGAAGTCTATGTGTGCGAGTGTTGGTCTTCAGAAAACAGACAACCAGAATCATAACAGATAACCGCAAAATTCCAAAATTTTGTTAAGCATAGAGGGGCGGGGCATGAGCGAAATTCCGCCCGTCGGCTTAACGATACAAACACCACTCAATTGACATAAGATATAACTGCAAGGACTATGCAAACAGACAATGAATCTATCGCCTCTCTTTCATTCGGTTCACACCGCCCTTTTTGTGGGGGCCCAAGGAGACAGGGGACACTATACGCATCCGAGTACCCAGGTCGGGAAGTTCGCAGGGAGAGCCCCTCGTTGTGGGAGAGATTCGAGAACGGGTCGGACCTTTCGTAATCGAGCACCAACCTCGGCCAGCAGCACAAGCTTCCCAGCTGACACCAACAGCAGTTAAACTGAGGCTTCCATGTGGCATGGGCCGCAGACCACGGACGCACCGTCAAGTCCGTGTAAGGCAAGATCAGCGATGGGGAGGAAAATCGATCTGGCAGAACAAACCCTGACATGCCTTAGACGGGTTATAAAAGTGAACCCGATCGGTCCGCAATAGCACCCTTCGTGCATCCGCATCACAGTAAGGACCGTGGTCATCTGCGATGGGGAAGGGAGGAAGGTCGCTACGGCGAATCTATGTAAGGTTCGAGCACGGGCAGTTACCCGCGCTCACATTCAGAGCGGCAAACCTCGACTCATTACAAGTCTCAACTCATCCTACACTGCCCACTCCCTATATCAAGAGGCAAGAAGATACTCAAAAATTGTGACCTCGTCAAAACGGCGACGGTCGGGAGGCAGAGAGGTCGGGACTCGGGCGGATCGACTAAGTCTTCATGCCCGATGTCCCTGGTCGCTTGGCTCACCTGCCTGGGTGAGTGGAGAAGTTCACACGTGTGACTTGCGCACGGGAGTGAAGAGAAAAAGGACGGTGACGATCTCACACACGCACTAGGCGCGGGGATCGGCAATTAGTCGAGGAACAGAGGGCATCAGGACACTCATGCATGTAAGCAAACTTCCAAGATCCAAGGACCCCAAGGGCCGCACCGATGTGTGTGACGACAACCAAAACCATTACCCTGTCTTTCCGCATTCATACATCCATATATTTTTTGACACCGAAGCATTCAGCATCCACAGACACTCACACCCAATGCCATGCATGCGACTAAGTACGGACACTTAGTCTGAGGCACACACAACAATTGGACAAAGCTGCGATAGAGAAGCAGTGAGTCCCTCCTTATTCGAAAATTACAACAACGCTGGCACTCCGCGTGCACAGCCACCAACCCGATCGAACGCAAGCTAACCATAGCCACAAGGCCCTACCGCTGGCTCCATTCCCGTCTCCACCACCGCTCGGTCTTTCTGACTGCCTTACCCCAAGTCTACCGCTAGTTCCACCCCACGCCCTCACTCTGGCCATTCCTTAGGCACATCGAGACTGTTCGGCGCTGCGGTCTTCGCGCATAGCTCGCGCAGTATTGCAGCCGAGATCAAAGAGAGGGAGAGGAAGGGGTTGCGCAAATTTATAGCATGGAAGGCGGCAGGGCACCGGCGTGTAATATGGGCGGCGAGGGCTGTAGATGAGCAGGACAGAAGGAAGAAGGTTCTGGAAGGCCGAATGAGGCGAGACAATGGAAAATTTTGTTCACTTGGGGTGGTCGATCAATCCGCGTGCGTAAGTTTGCCCTTGTGGCTTGATCCGACCAACCCAGGTGACAACCAATCAATCGCGCCGAAGAAACAAGGCAGGGATCGGACGAAGGGTCCGGAGGAAGACAGAGAGGTATGCGGAGATGAAGGACAGCAAGAAAGGAAGTTGGTGTGCGCGCGCAAAGCTGGGAGCGAGCTTGCGTGGCAAGCAAGAATTCAAAAGTGGCCGCGCGCGCTGATGCAAAGAAAAATTGAAAAATGCCGTCAACCGAAATTCGTAACCATTTCTTTGAAATTCCCGCGTGGTCTCTAATCGGCCCTTTGAGACTAAGTTTGAACAAGGACCGGGGCAATCTCAAAAGATGCATGCAATTGGCCCGCAAAATTTGAAAACGGACCCCGTTCCCTGTAATTAGTCAAGATCCGTACTTCGGGGCTTACATTGGGTCTTAGTCCGAAGGGTACGTGAAGGCGCGACGTACGGAACTTGGCTTATCACAAGTGCTAGAAGAGTTGTACTACTGTACAGACAGGGAGGAGAGAGGAGCTGATGGTGGAGGAGTCTCCTCACCTGTGGCCATATTCCGGAGTGCTGCTACCGGCCATAGCCAGTCTTTTTCTTCTTTGAGACAAGGCTCTGCCTTTCACCAATCAGTATCATCCACATGAGAGAGAGAGAGAGAGAGAGAGAGAGAGAGAGAGAGAGAGAGAGAGAGAGAGAGAGAGAGAGAGAGAGAGAGATTATGTTCGCATTTTGGGAGCCCGGCTCCCAGACTCAAGATCGAGATTGACTATTGGGGGATGTTCTGGTGGTTGAAGAGAGCGAGGAGGGGACACATTATTTGGTGTTGCCATACATTGGTTTCTTTTTTTCTTCTTCTTCTTCCATCTCCCAACTATGATTTTATCTGTGTTTGTTGGCAGTGGGGAGGTTTCTTCCATGGTTGGACCCCTCCCCGATTGCTGTGGGATTGAATCTTAGTCACATTGTCATTTTGTTGGATTGGCAGTCAAGTCCTACTCTGATTTGAGTCTTCCATTGTCTCTGGGCATGCGTCAGAGGGAGTAAAGGCAGAAGTGGGAATGAGGGGAGGGAGGGAGGGAAGGTCGGAGGAATGAGGGGATGCAGAGAGAAAGGGAGAGAGGAACAGAGGATCAGAGTGAGGTAAGAGTTTAAGGAGAAGGAGGAATGGAAATATGAGCGGAGCCATGGAAAACACTGGAGGACATGATTCAAGTCAAGTCTAACTATCATTGCGGAAGAGAGCGCCAGCTTACGCCCAAGCGGGCTAGCTCAGTTGGTTGAGCATGTAAGTGGCTCTCAGGAGGTCATGGGTTCGATACCCAACGTCGTCCTTTCGATTCCCGCGGCCTCCTCGGGTATGCTTCGGGTTCACCAGCGGAGATGATTGAGTTGGGCCTCCTGGGTGGTTGTGGAAGCCATTGTGGCTCTCTTTCCGGCCTATGCCAGGTGTTAGGAGCTAGGGTGCTTCTCCCCGCACAGACCAGAATGAGGCCGGTATCAACCCATAACCCTTAGGGCCGCCCAGATTGTGTGCATAGATAGGCTTCACTGAAAATTTTAACTGGACAAGGAGTAGATAGGTAGGTAGGGAGAGATATAATGAGAGAAGAATATAGGGTAGTTAAAAAAAAAAAAAAAAAAAAAGAATGCCAGCTTACCTTGTCCAGGACAGACTTTGAGTGTTTGCAACATCGACCATTCCCGTCCACGACCCCTGATCTGCAGCACCGGCCTTTGTTATCAAGTCTTCCACGGCAACTGGTAGGAACTTCGCAGTTGATACCATGCCATCCTCGAGTGCAGGAGCATTCACCATCCTTGAAAACAAAAAGAACAATCAATTAATTGATGTACACACGGCAAAGCTCAACATGCCACAGGATTCAGTGAAACAACGGTGAAATCAACCCTTCAATCTCAACTGACAACAAAGGCACATATGTCAGTGCATGCATAAATTCCACAGCAGCGATTGGGGAATGCATTAAGAAGGAATTGGCTGCTGGAGGTCTGAATTGCAACAATCAGAGACAACAGACTGAGCTGGAAGAAATGGGACACCACCTGAGGATTCCGTGTCGGGCCTTTAAGAGAAGAGTTTTAGAAGCAGTACTGACAGCCTTGCCCTCAGCCAAGTCTGGGAGAATCCTGAAGGGTCAACAAAGTTGCCAGTCTTCCTGAACTCCTCTAGCTCTTGTTTTGATACAACATACACAACATTCTTAGTTAGGGCTGAGAAAGAATCAGGAGGGACAGGCAAGCTGACAGTCAATCCTCCTTATTGGAGCAATCAATGCTAACGGAAGGAAGTGTGGAGTGTGTTTATCATGTATTCAGCTTTCGGTTGCCAGTGGATTGGAACCAGACTGACGTGCAAGGAACATGAATATGGGCGAAGCACAGAAATCCAGATTGCAAAATCACACTGAAGTCCAAGTAGCCAAAGCAAGAGCATATAGCACAATGGAACCGAGTAACCATCCATTTGAGAATGATACAGAAGAATCGTGAGTCAATGTCCAAGCCCAACAGGGCAACACCAACAGCATAACTCAATGTAGCTCTCTCTCTTGAATGGCGCCAGGCGCCCTACCTACTCTACAGCCTAACACTACAACTACAATATGAAAGCAACCAGACAGCTTGACGACCAGCGAGTGATGATGTCAACACCAATGCCGACCTCCCACCTCCACCAGGTACGTCTCCTTCTTCACCCACACTCTCCCTTGTTATCCCACACAGCGCCCTTCACCTCCGAAGAACCACTTTCGCCCTCACCTCCCCTGCACCCTCAGGCAGCCGGTCTATGGCCGCCAGCACCCTGTGCACAGGCAGCGCCCTACTGCCTAGCGCCTGCCTGTCTCGCACCTCAGCCTAGCGCAGCGCAGCAGCTCGCATTTCCGCAGCGTGCCGGCATTGCCCGCAATGGCCAAGATCCCTGCCCACTCGCCCTGCTTGCCTATATGCCAGTGTTGCGTGTGGGCGGCCTCCCTTGAGCCTGTGCCTGGGCCCCAGTGCCTGTACCCAGGCCCGATGCAGTTGGGGGCCCAGGAGATGCAGTTGCGCCTCTTTCGTCAAGGCCTGCGGCCAGATTCGGATAGTGGACCGGTTTCCCTTTGGCATTTTCGGCCTCTATGTCCAGCATGCATTGTCGGCCTCACGTTTATGTGCCCAGGGCCTAACCAACTCGGGGCCCTGGGATTTCTGCATTTGCAGAGCTCCGATACTCG